CTCACATATAAAGGGCTGAAATGCTAGCCAAGGATTTTTCAGATTAAAATGAAACACATACACGTGCACATATAAAATTGGGAAATATTTTACGTAGAAACTTACATGTTCCTCATTATGGGTGTATGTAACTTCCAACTTTCCACTCTGAGTAGCAACCCACACCTGGAAGCAGGATAAGTAAACAGGACATTTGAATGAATAACTTGAGAGGTGGGTGCAAGGACAATATTAGTAATAAAAAGAAACACCAACCTTTATTGTTTTGTCCAATGAACATGATAGAAGAAACTGATCCCAGCATAGAACAGACATTACAACTGAAGTATGCTCGGTCAAAGTCTGGATGCATTGCAAAGTTTCAAGGCTCCATACCCGGAAAGCAGGATAAGCAGACACACAAAAGGTAATAATTAAAAACCTCAAGCAACGATTATGGAAGCGAAAGTAATTTAAAAATTCTTGCCAATAAATCATAGATAATCACAGCAGGATATCCCACCACAACCAACTTACTCTTATAGAATGATCCATTGAACCGGAGAATAGCCTATTAGCACCAACAACTAGTGTCACAACAGCAAGAGTGTGACCCTTGAAGGATGCAGCTGGTTCAAAGCAGTTGGCAGCAGCATTAAATTTTCACGCCAAAATGGTCCCATCCTGCATCAGAAGTGTACTTCTTTCAAGAAAAGAAAAATATGCCAATATCGAAGAGAGAGGGAACAAAAACTAAATATAAATATGCAAGGCATTTTATTTAGTAGGACTCAAGTTGCACAAAGCCATGGCTATAGTTATAACTCCACCAAAAGCTACGGGAATTCCTGATCACCATAATATTAGGAGAAGAAATATAAAGTCTAAAGCCCTAACCAACCAAAATATGGCACAGTGAGTACCTATTGAACATTTTCTATGACGACTCATCCATGTTAAAATGCTAAATTGCATAAGTTACAAGGAGAAGGTCCTTAAGAACAGTGTGACAGCCACTGCAGAAATATTCTTACATGGTAATTAAGAAAAATAACAACAAAATAATAAAAGTAAATAAATACAGTTAACAAGAGAAGAACAATATAATTCATAATGAAAAGCTTACCTGTGAACCTGCAAAGAGCATATCATTGCCCACAACCAGGGTATAGACTTGTCCAACAGGTCCATTAAGACTCAAATCAATGGCGGTTTGGGTATTCCACGCCTGCAATATCATCATAACAAGTCCAACGAACAATTTGCATCATACTCATACAACTAAGAAACCTAGAAAGAACCAATAACAATGAAATACTTAACTACAATAAGACATAAAAGGATGGAAATTAAGACTCCCGCCTTACCTTGACAACATTTGGTAGACCCACAAATATCCATGGCCCTTCACTGAGCATGCAACCTATTTCACTGCCCAAATTAATCAGGCTAGTACACTGCATAAAACATTGACAACAACAATACATGAACAAATTCCAGCACCCTTCATTCAGTAGCTGAGAAAATTAAGGAAAATAAAATAAAATACAATCCATATCAGAGGTGGCATGTTGCTTTGTTTTCTCAATTTTTTTTTAGTTTTAAAAGCTTCCTCGGGCCTGCTTGGTTAGTCACTCAGAAAACTGTTCTCAAAATTTAAAAAAAAAAAAACTGAAAACTGTTTTCAGAGAATGATATAGTTCTCTGAATACAGATCTTTTTCTAAATAAGGACCTGCTTGGTTTGTCACTCATAAAATACTTCTCAAGAACTCAGAAAATAGAAAAATGTTTCTAAATAATTATAAATGATAGTTCTATGAAAACAGGCCTTCTTTTAATTGAGTTTTCAGAAACAGGTTCTCAGAAACTGTCAATCAAGCAGGTTTTTCTACAGTTTTCTGATTTTCAGTTATCAAAAAACAAAAAACCGTTCAAACCGAACCAAGCCAAGCAGGCCCTAAGTTTTCAGAAAAAGATCCTCAGAAATTGTCAACCAAACAGGTTTTGTACAGCTTTCTGATTTTCAGTTCTCAGTTCTCACTTTTTTCCATTTTTTAATCTTTTGATTCAAATGTCATGATAGTGCATCTAAACAGTCCTAAACAAATTAGCAATGTTAGTAGAATACGCAGTGGGGTTCTGATACCATAAAACCCAATTAAAAAAATCTAAATTTGAAACCATTTTCTCCTTTCCATCTCCAATGTCTTCTCAGAATCAAAGAGCATCAAGTAATTAAAGAAGAAAATAAAAACTAATTTGATGAATAACCACAAAAAATGAAGAAAATACCAACCTGCCAATAGACTGCGGTGGCGGTAATTCTCCGTGCAAGTAAGGACATGGGAATCTATAGCAATTGCCTGCCCTCCAATGGAAACAGACCTTTTGATGTTTGCTACCGTTTGAAGGACCGAGACGTTGGTATACCCGGTTGTTTCCTTCAACATCCATAGTCGATTATTGGGTTCTTGGATTGAGGGAGTGGTAAGGAGAGTCCAAACAAGCTTGTGTCAGTGATTGAAACGGTCGGTGATCTGATACGATCATTACATGAAGTAATTTGAATCAACGGCTGATTAAGGTCTGAGAAGCTCGAGATTGGAGAGCTGGAATCACAATTTAAGGACTAAACAAAACAAAAAATTAAAAATGAAAGTTAACTAGAGTTCTTGCCGAACTAATACTATATAATTTAAAATTGAAAACTTTATAAATCAATTTTATTACAATGGTTTATATTATATTATTCTTATTATTATTTATTGAGAAAAAAAAATACAGTTTTAAATATGAAAAAAATGAACCTAATTATGAAAACTAATATAAAAATAAATAAATAAAGAAGAGGAAGAAATGAATTATAGATTAAAAAAAATTTGTAGACTTAATGGTGAATAATTATTGAACAAAAAAAAAGATTATAAGGACGTGCGCGTGTGTGGAGACTAATAAGAGAGGAAAAAGAAAAAAAAAAAAAAGAAATGTTAACACAACACTTCAATTCAATGTAACATCTATTTCTTCCACCACTTCATTAACTACAATTTATTTTTTCTATGTCATTTAAATTCCTATTATAAGTCTTCTTCTTTTTTCTTTTTCATTTTTTTCCTTTCTAAAATTGATATTTAGTTCGTAGGTAGCTACATAATTTTAGAATGCCATAGAAAAATCTTTCACCATGTAGCTTTGATATATAATAGAATACTGTTTATAGTATTTTTTTTATACTTCTAATATTATTTCAATATACTAACAAATAACATATTCTATTAAATTTTATACTCTCGTTTGCTTATATACAGTAGGAATACCAATTGAAAATTGAGAACCGTGAACAAAAAGATTTTTTATTGCTTTAAAATCAATAAAAGCTATTTTTATTACACTGTGAAAACTCAAAACTGATAGTGATTGGCTGATGATAGACTGTCATCAAAAATAATTTTCATCACTAAATCACTATCACCCCCTTACTTAATATTTACCATAACTATTCTTTATAACTTCTTTTTTTCTTTTCTTTTTTTAACTTTTTTGCTTCCTCTAGTATTTTCTTTTTTATCACTGCAATGTAATGCCACTCATATTCAATCAATTCTTAAACATGTATTAATTAATATAATTAAAATTAAATAAATAACAAATGATAATCAAATTCAGTATAAATTGACTAAATAAATAACTCAAATTAAATAATTATTTAAATAGATTATTTCTTAAATAAATTACTTCTTTTGACGGAAAAAAGAAAGAAAGAAGAGAGTGCTAGAGAAAGTAAATAAGGTATAAATAAGTTACAGTTTGAAATATAGAGGGTAGTTGTGATAATATAAAATAAGGGAGTGATACATTAACGAACCTTCTTGTCATTTTTTTTTAAATATAAATAAATAAATATAGAGTGCAATTCTAAAAAACAAAAGTGCGAATATGGCCTCCCTTGAAAAACAAAAAAGCATTATGTAATTAGTGAAAATAACGTTACACTACAGCCCTTAGATAACATAATGTAAACGGTAAAAAGCAAAATTCACAACACAATTTCACAACACATTAGGGCATGTTTGGTTGTCCAATTTCAACACACTTGTATAACTTGGGGCTTCCCCATCTATTCAGGGATTATCATGCATCATATATTTCACAAGACAATTTTTCTGAATTCTCCATTTCAATTCAGCATGGAAGTTCTTTCACTTGCCTGGTATAATTGAACCTCATATGATTTCAAACATATCAACATCAAGAGTGTAAAAATTATTTATTGCTGGCAAAATCATCACAATTTACCCGTTACCCGTTCGGAGATTATTATTTGTGCCTCTCCTTTCAAATATTACTGAGTTGTACAATGTCACTTCAATCAAGAAGAAATCACAAATTAATATTGTTTCTGCTGTGACAGTAATGAACCAAAAAGGCAGTGATGCTGGTTTCTACTTTCTAGGGCAAATTGTGGCTGTCAGGATTAAATCAAGCAAAAGGGAGCTACGGGATGATCAAATCAAGGATGGTTTTTCGCTGTGAAGGATAACAATCATAGAAACGACCAGAGTAGTTCTTTCAATGTGGGAAATGTACTTCTAAAAAGAAATAAGTACACAGAAATATACTGCCCAACTTCATAAATAAACAAAAACAGCATCAACAAGGTTGTGATATTATGTTTTACACTACAACAGCGCTTGCTTAAACAGTAGCAAACCTAGGGAGACCAAGAAATTCATGCGTCAAAATACCATCTAGTGAAGTGCCCAGAAGATAAAGAGAGAAGGATGAGTGTGTAAGGAGGTCATGATAGGTATACAAATCGGAGACAAATTGAGAAAAAATATAAGGACGTCATTGATCAAATGGCAAGAATAGGAAGATTTGAAATGGAGACACATATCTGCTAAAATATAGTCACCAAATTTTGGAAGAGAGTATCTTATAAACCAAACCTATAAGAGAAGCCGGGACAGGATAAACCAACCCACATATGGCATGTTGGTCAATTTGGATGCTTTTAATTCAACTGGCAAGTTTAAAGGCATCAATGAATAGACCATAAGTGAAACCCATCTTGAAATTGTTCAGGAGAGCAATGGGGAAAGTAACCTTTGGCCTGCTGTAATAAAACTTAGTCACATACTCAGTAAGTAGAACACATACTACAGCAGCAATTACATCGTTGACTCCTATAGCTCCAAAGGATAGGGAGATTGTTTGAGCCACATAAAATCCACCCAATAAAGAGATACCCCCAAAAAGTGCCCTCCGAGAAGGAGTTCTAAAGTAATTCCTTGAGATGTCAGGCACAAGTCGAATAATGTCAATTAGCCTTCGAGGCCCTTCATTCTCTTGCACAGCTCGAACGGTAAAAAACCCAGGTGAGGATTTCGAAACAAAATTTCTGATTTTTCCATGATAATTTCTGGTTTTAGGAATCAAGCCCAATTTGAGGAAGCCAGTAGAAGTCAAACTTAGAGGATGTGCCATTGAAGATTCTGGTATACAGACACCAATCAGGATGCTTTTCCTAGAAGAAGAAAAAAATGAGGCTTGTTGGTGGGGTCGCTTAAATAAAACTTCTTCACAATGACAACATATAGATATACAAAAACTAATACATTCACACACACACACACAAAATGTGTTACTAATACATTCACACACACACACACAAAATGTGTTTACTTATTGCACAGTATACATGATATCCAATATGGCTTTCTGGTGCTGACCACTTCCAAAAAAGAAAAAATATTCTTTTCTAGTATCAATTTTTTTGCTCAACGCAAAAGTGTTTATAGAAGTGCAACAAAAGAATGCAGATGCTCCCGTATTAACATCCATAAAACTTTCCTTTCCCATCCACATGACGTCTTCCAAATAATAGTAACTGAAATCACTTCATATCTATCCAGAAACTGACACAATTAACTAATATGTTTCAGGTTATTTGCCCAACATGATTTTGAAATTTATTTACGCCCTATCACTTGGATGGACATAATCACCTTGCTAACTGAGAAAAAGCTTTGTTTTTTTCTTTTACATTTCTGCTACATCAGAGATCAAACAAGAGAACAGACCCATAACAGGACATGCATCAAAGAGTCCAAAATCAACACGAGGCACAAAAAAATAAAAAATAAATAAATAAACAACAAAACAACAATACTAATAATTATATTAATAATAGTTCATAATATTGAAACTCAGAAAACAAGGGTAACAAAAGAATAATAAAAGGTATTAAAAAGGAAAAAATAAAAATAAAAAACTGAATGTGGGAGTCTAAAGTTCTCAAATCTTAGCCAAACTATTTGTATAATAGGTCATACTTTTCGGAGATCCGCTTTTCAGCTTAGAGCATTACTTTGAGAAGTAAATATCATTAGAATCCAAAAACATGTGATTGCAAATAAAACATACACTGATCATCAACATCACCAGTATAATGTTTTAAGAATTTGGTTATGGCATTTAGCTTCTTCTTGTTTATTTTACTTTATTTTCATTGCTATTACATATTACAAATGTCAAATCCTCACGCTAAAGTTTACACTGGAATCACATTCTCTTGTGCAAAATTAATGGGGAAAACTACTCACTGCTATTCCCTATACGCCCTTTGTTAACCATCCTAGAGGTGGAAATGAGCAAAAGATGCAGAAAAGAAGAGACAAACTAAGTCAAGAAAGAACATGTTTCTTCACCTCTCTAGAGAGGAAAGAACTTAAAAAATTATCAAAGCAAATATATAAAAAGAAAGAAACAAAGAAAATTACTTTGAATTGCGAAAAAGAAGGGTCAAATAAGATGGCAGACTAATAACAAGTTCAAGCTGATATATTCTTTAAACAAAATTAGTACATAACTACAACTAATAAATGACAGGAAAATAGAAAAAGAAAAAGAAAGAGAAAATTAAGCTCAAGTAACTTGTGATCACTATAATGAATAACATCAACGATCTTCTGATAAATTCAGAGATCGTGGATCAAAGTATTAAATGAGGGCATGAAGGTTCTGAAAAACGCAGATATTCATGTTTTAGCTATTCAATTTCCAAGTGCATCCAAATGTCTCAGTCTTAAGAGATTAACTACTGTTCTGGTATATACACCACCAGAATTAAACCATCACCGTCCATTAAAATGGCAAGGGGTTCTACTAAATAAATTATGATTCTTCTTTATTACAATTTTTTGCAAAATTTCTAACATTTCTAGTTTTCAAATGTCAAAATGTTCATTGAAAAGAATGAAAGTTGATAAGCATGATATAAAAATAGAGCACTTCTGAGTTCTGACCCATTGAAATTTCTGCACGACTTTGGAATTATCAAGAGTCAAGCATGTGAATTCTAATGGGTGGTACAATTAACATCTAGACTTAATAACTGCAAGAAAGAAAAAAAAAAAAAAAAAAAAAAAGCCACTAAGATTAGAAGCCTCATAAAAATGTAATGACAGCTTGAGGAGACAACTATTCAAGGATTTTGTTTACTTGACAACACAATTGAGAGAAAACCAACCAAGCAGCATTGTCAATTTGTCGGAAGAACCATAAAACAATAATAATAATAATAAGATTTTTAAAAAAAGAAAACATATCATATACTCAGTGGACTGATTTCTATTTTCTAATATCCTAAAGCAAACAAACTAGAAAGCATAAAAGAATGACAGCTATGATAATGAGAGTTACAAGGACCCTAAATTGTACCATCGGAAAAGCTAATTAACAAGTAACAACAATGAATAATATCCAATTAATAGTATTTATGTAGTTGAAACTATATTGTCAGTGGATTCTTGAAAATTTACTTCTAAACCCGCATATATAATTATAGTACTTGTATTAGTGTTTATATTACGAACAATGGATACTTTTTATTTTCTAATTTTCTTCCTCCTATCTGTATAATTAATCAAATAAAAGATACAAAATTTAATTAATTTAAGGTTCATGAGACGTATATCGAAATCAATTCAGAGATAATATAGCTAAAACAATAAAAAATAAAAAAAATAGCTAAAATAAAATAAAACATTAAACGAAGAAATCAAATTAAAAAGAAATTCTCTTACCTACAATTCTGGAACTTAAATGTTCAGAAGCTCCATTTCTCTCCTTCTACCGTACTCTGAAACAGGGGGAAAACGTTTGTGTTGAGACTTGAGAGAGAAACAATAGAGAGAGAAAGTTTAGAGAGAGAGAGAGGATCGTTTATGCGACAGTCGCAGCTAGTCGACGGTGAATGTGGTAGGGGAGCAGAGGTGATTCGTAGGAGGAGGATTGGGAATTTCTAATTTCTTTTTTTCTGGTCACTTCACCCAAACCCAATTGATACTATCTCAAATTGTGTTGTCTTATCCAATGTGGACCCACTAAATGGACCCATTTGGGTTCAAATTCTTGAAATGAGCCCTCTGAATGAATGAAGGCCGTAGGCCCATAGGGGCATGTGAGAGGCCGAGAGGCAACATGTCTGATGTTCAGCCCATAATATTAACATTTTTTTTTAAAATACGATTCAACCAGTGTCTCAGGTTTGTTATTTATTACCACGTAGTTTTATTTTTTGAAAAAGAAAAAAATTATTAGTTTTCTATTTTGTAACAATACTTACGTACTCATCCGTGATTCCTACTACTGCTAACGTGATTCAATTATGAATGTACACATAGTTTATGATTGCAAAATTAGAGGCCGGTGACTGAATTTATTCCAAAAACAAAATTATTATCGATTTTATTTATTTATTTTTGTAATCACATATCATGTATACATTTGTGATTAAATCACATCAATAATTATTAGGATGACATACTTATTTTTTGTTCCGAAATTGTAGTGTCTTGTCTGATTTTGTAAATGTACTACTCATCAGTGAGTAAATATGGTCCTATATTCCTACATTCTCATTTTTTTTTTTCTTCTAACATTTTATATATAAAAAAAAAAAATCATGGCTCTCCATTTCATTAATTTTCTTTTCCTTCTATTTCTTTCCACCAAACCAAGCCAAAAAGTTCAATTGCTATCTATGAAAAAAAAAAAAAAAAAAAAAATTAGGTGTAGCTTTCATTCATGAGTTTTTATTTATTTATTTTATTTTATTGACAATAAATATATTTACACCACTTTTGTTTCTATAAAAACTTAAACTCTCGACTTTTTACTTTTAAAGATAAAGATGACCTTTTTAATTCTTGACAAAATTAATTTGCATACAATACGTATATTATAAGCATACGTAATGAAACACTTCCAATTCGTTAAATTCGGATAGTGTTTTGCATCCCTGGAGTGGAAATGGCTGAAACCTAAAAGCACATGCCTGACACCCCATATCTCTTGAATCATGAAATAAAAAATTAGGGTGTAAAATGTAAGCCTCACCTCCACACATACATACATTACATATATTCTACCTCTAAATCTAATCATTTAAAAACAAAAATAATGCATATATGCAATTTAATAAATCTATATGCATTTTGTGTGGGTGTGTGTATAGACAAGTCAATGATGATATTTAAATGGATTTTTTTTTTTTTTTTCAAATAAAGAAAATAAATTTGTAAGCAAATAAAATAGCTAGAATTATTTACAACTATATTTTCTCATATTGTCATTTGTTAACATGTTTCATTGCATGAAAATATCAAATATAAAGTCAGAGCGAATGCATTTAACAATTGAATTATAGTTCTGAATTTTCAATCAAAAAATTTATTATATACATAACATAGCTACGATTAATCAATGTGTTGCTGATATCTTTTAATAATATATTAATATATATTTTTTTTAATAAAAAAAATCTGAATTGAATTGTTTCATGAAGTGATAATGGTCTATGTAACAATTAAATTAAAATGTGAATATCACAAGGATTCATTAGGAAAAAAAATTAATAGAGAAAGAAGAAGAAGCAATAATTGGAGTTGACATAAATCAATTGTCAATAATGTGAAAGTAGTTGCTTAATAATCATTAAATAATAATTATTTAAGATATAAATATAAAATATGTTGAAAGGTTATTATGGTAAAAAGATGAGGCGGAGGAAGTCCACGTGTTTATTCGTGAAGCGGCCCCAGAGAGTGTCATTCACGAGATTCTGGTTTCTACTCACCCCGTTGTCCCCACTCTCACTCCTCAAACCACCACCACCACAAAAAATAATCTCCTCCTTCTCAAGCTCATCACTTCGATTCTCTCTCAGTCGCTTTCACGTCTCTCATCGATTTCAAATATATATATATATATATATATATAATATTATATTATATATACGGTAACATATGTATTTATACAGATAGGTTCAGGAGTTGAGTTTTGTTATGTAAATCAATCATCTTCCATACACGATAGCTATTTCGAGTTCTCTCTCTCAGATTCATGAAAGATTTTCGTCGATTACATCTTTTCATGAACTTTCGATACCTCTCTTTTTCCAGTTGCTGAATCTGATGGCACAATGTCAATTGATTGTGTTCTTCGTTGTGCTCTCGTGTCTCGTTGGTGTGCTCAACGCAAGTGCCGGTGAAGTTGATCCGATTTACAAGTAAGCTCTGTTTAGTTATTTATTTTTTTAATTTTCTTCTAATTATTCATTAATTTCGACGTGTTGATGAATTTAGAGTTCAATAAATAGTTGATTGATGTGTTGTCTTCCACTAGAATAGTATACTTTGTTTCGTGATTTGTGGTTTAAATTTACTGTTATTCTTCTGCTTGATTTGGACTTGAATTGACATCTGGATTTTCCGTTGAGCTCCGTTTGGTTGCTGAGAAAGTCTAGGAAAAGGAAAATAAGCTGATTTTTATTATTGTTTGGGACTCTGGAGAACAAAGAAGACCCAACTGAGCTTAAACTAACTACGTTTCTTTCGTTGACTTGAATTTTATTGTTAATTATTTTTTATTGGGGAAAATCAAAGATAAATTGAAACTTAGTGTTTAAGAGTTTACTAGCTGGCATGATATTTGTACAAGATCTAATTTAGCTTACGGAAACTTCCTGTGTATATTATTGACAAAGGGGACCTTGAGAGGTAGGATAAGGTTCTAATTGTATGTTTGAGAGGTAGGATAAGGTTAAGTTTGTTATAAACATTTTAACCTTTACCTGGAATTTCGCATGATTACAATTTATGCAAATCATCCTTATTAAAGATTCGTATTTTAGGCAAAGCTGAATCCTTCTTAGAATTTTTGCATTTCCTTCTCTTGGATCTTCAAAATCATGACCTGGAGATGTTTGTGGAAGAAAGGGCTCTCTAGTCTGACTTAGATGGTTGAAAATGCATATTTTACTGTTCTTAGTTGCTTCCATGGCAATAAATTCTTGAAGAGATGCCCCCACCCCTCCCTCCTATTTGCTTCTTTATATTTATTTATTTATTTTTGTAACTTTAATTGGCTTAGATAATTCTCATATCTTTTGTGATTGCTAAAATATTGGTTGAAAAAGGTATTCCTAACTGTAATTTTCTCTAACATTCATAATAAAAGCCATGATCATTTTCGACATGTAAAATATAAGCATATTGCATGTAATATTAGAATCACAATAAAAGTAATGTAAGGCCTTGACTGATGCCAACCTAACCATAGATCTGGAAAAGATTTATCAATATTCCAAGCCCCATACCTGAAAAGCTTGTCTAATGATTCTAATCCATTGGTTGGTTTGGGTGGAATCATATGTGAGTTGTAAATTTTTCTTTTAGTATGTACAACCCTCCAAATCCTAGCCAATAATAATAAATAAATAAATAAATAAAATCTCCAAATCCTTGCAACAAAAAATAATGTATGCAAGAATGCCACTTGCTGTTATAATATAATGTACTAAATTACTTGTAATCTTAGGGTTTCTAGAAAAGTGTTGCTGGAGGAAAAGAGAGAAATAGGGATTACTTATGTACTTTGGTGGTTTTTTTTACTTTTTTCTTGACAAGGAAAAAATCTTATTGAGTAATTTGGCTTCCTCAGGTATATCAGAACTTTTAATCAATGGCTATTGCTCAGTTTTTCATCTGAACAAAGCTCCACCCTTTTATGACAATGTCTAGTGAAAAATGGCCCTTTTAGGATGAAGACTTCAAAAAGCCAACTATATTATAATCTTACATGCAACCTCTGATTAAGATCTCTTTGGTGGGAATGCTTAAGCATACAACTTGATTCCACATGTTGACTGGGATTAGATTTAAAGATAATTAAATTGTTCCACAAGCCTTTGAGAGGAAGGATGATGAATTGATCGTGCCAATATATCAACTGATCATAAGTTGAACCAGTTGGGCTTGGATATTGTGCAGAGGTTATATGGTGGGCTTGCAGCACAATTGAAATTATGGATCGAGGATATGACTGGATTGCTTATGAGCATACTGACTATCTCCTCTCACTCCAAGTCTAGAGATGCAAAAGGATTGAAAAGGACGTGTGACATTTCTGACATTGTAAAATTAGTTAGATCGCGTTCACTTTTTCAGCTCCTTTAAATCTTGTTCATGGGAAATTTCATTTGCATAACAAGAAAACATGAAACCACCCCTTTCCCCGTTACCCCTTTCTCGCTTCAGGAATCCCTGTTAATCTCATTATTGTTTTTGTTATTCTATCATCTTATATGTCATCTAACTTCTCTTTATTTATTTATTTTTTCTTTTAAACTCTATTGTGGATCATTCTCTTCACAAGGCAAGAACCCCATCAATAAAAACCTAGTATGTAGTGAAAGGCTGAAAGCTTGACGACTTTGCCCAAGAGTGAGTGGAAAAGGGAAGGATGAGGGGAATAAACAGGGATTTTGAATGTGGTCGTGAATTTCTATATAATAAAATTGAATGCGAGCAATTTGTTCACATTTTTGTATTGGTAAAGGAAAATGCACAATAGTCTTCCCAAGTTCTCTGATTCCCAGGCTGACTTGACTTGCAGTTTCTGTTAAGCTTTGTAAACTAAAAGAATATATGTCGCAGATTAGATTCAAGAAAGGGGATACGACCGACATACGAGGCTCTACGTGAGAGTTCACAAGACCCCAAACTAGAGCTAGAGGGAGGTGAATATGTCTCAAAAGCTAAAGTAACTAATTTTAACAATAATTCAAATTTGACCAATTTTGGTAATTAAATATCAGCGCATCCATCAAATAATTACTAGTAGTGCAAAAATATAAAGAGCATACACCACAAGAGAACACCAACTTTTGTGTGAAAAGTCCCATGGGAAAAAACCATGGGATCTAGTCCGGCAGATCAATTCATTACAGAAGAAAGGGAAGTGCAACCCTAGGTATCAGATTATAAACCCTAGAATCACCTTAGATGTAGACTCATACCAGTTGTTCCTTCTCAGACATATTATTGTCAATCTACCTCCTTAATAAAAGACTATTCATCTTGTGATTGATCCCCTCTGCTAGTCGTCCAAGCTTGCAGGTTTTATGATTTGAATCATGTTAACCTCCTTGAAACACTCGAATTGTCGACGAATAACACTCGATAACAATCAGCATCGAGATATTATGATGATTATAGATATGCCATTGCTGATTTTTTGAATTTTCCAATTTGCCCCTGGATTGAGGTAAACTCAACTAACTTTGAAAAATATATACAAACTGAAATCAATAATACAGACTGTTTTGTATTGACCGAACAAAGACATGCAGATAGATTTGTTTTTCACTGTCCCTATGTACCTATTGCTTTTGATGTATCAAATATGTTGGTTTGCCAGGGCTTGTGTTGAGCAATGTGAGAAGACAGGATGTGTTGGGGACAAATGCTTCCAGCATTGTAAATTCTCTTCTGATGGAAAAGCTATTGATGGTCTATGGTATCTGCAAGAACCACTTTATCTGCAGTGGAAACAGTGGGACTGCCGCAGTGACTGCCAATACCACTGTATGCTTGCTAGGGAGGAGGAAAGAGAGAAACTCGGTGACAGCCCAGTGAAGTATCATGGGAAATGGCCATTTCGGCGTGTTTTTGGAATACAGGTTCTTACATGTTCTTTATGGGCAATAAGTTCTCTATACTAGAGTAATCTGTTATTCAGTTGCTCATACAGTTTGCGCCTACTAATTTTAAAAACATCCATGTTCTTAGGAACCTGTTTCTGTGGCTCTTTCTGCCCTCAATCTCGCTATGCAATTTCATGGTTGGGTGTCCTTTTTCATCCTTGTTTACTACAAATTGCCTTTAAGGCCAAATAGAAAGACATATTATGAGTACACTGGCTTGTGGCATATCTACGGGATCTTATCATTGAATGCTTGGTTCTGGAGTGCTGTTTTCCACAGTCGGTAAGCAATCCTTTCCTTTGTGCGTAATTTTTTTTTTTTTTTTTCTTTAAAAGAAAATATATATCCAGAGCTGATGCCCATGCTGTTGTATCTGGAGTGTAGATCTGGAAGCAAGCTGAAGGTTTTTTTTTTTTGGAAGAAACTGCTTTAACATTAATATTTTTACTCAAACATGTAATATATAATTCATTTGAGAATTTATAAATGTACTTAAATTTCAAGAATCGGAGAGCAGACCCTTATATTTCACAAAAGGGTTAGCTCCTATATGGGAGTGTGGGACACAGGTTATTAGAGATACTATAATGCACATGCCCCTTATACTGCTTTTGGTAACAAAGCTTTCCACTTTGTGAAAAACAATGCTAAAGGTTATATCTGGTTCCAGTCGTATCCTCTTAGCACTTCTCGTGGGCAGGTCAAGCACTGAATAATGGCCTATGTACTGTTATGGTTGTGTATGCTGTTTTGTTGCTGATTTGACTCCACTGTGCATGCCATTGACTTCAATGAGAGTGCCAACCTTGCTACTTGTTGCCCAACAATGAAATAAACCCAGTCTGGTTCTTCTCTTAGAACCCGTAGTCTGTTATGAGGAGTCAGCCAAATTTGTTTGCTTTATGTTTTCGCATTTTATTGCTGGTTTATGTTTCTCTTTAGTATGACATTATGTAGCTAATTTACTTGCAGAAATGTGGGTTTGACAGAGAGGCTAGACTATTCATCTGCTGTAGCATTACTTGGTTTTTCCCTTATTCTGGCTATATTGCGAGCTTTCAATGTAAGGGATGAGGCTTCCAGGGTAATGGTTTCAGCTCCACTGGTAGCATTTGTGACAACCCATATCTTGTATTTGAACTTCTATAAACTCGACTATGGTAAGCCTACTCTTTCACTTTCCACTTTTTGAAGAAAAATCAGAATGAGAAAGATATTTTCTTTTAAAAACTAGCGGCATGACAACTCCTATTTATAATCTCGCTGATAATAGCAGCTTTTACATGGCATAGCATATCAAACATTTTTATGGGCTCAAACTCATCATAGTTGCACATTCATATGTCTCGAAAGTTCGGAGTTTCAACTTCTTTTCTTTCTTTCTTTTTTTCTTTCCCCTGAATGGGATGGTTGACTTAGGAAAGCCTTTCTCCAATGCCTAACCCTGTCATTTTGCTTGGTCTAGAAATATCTTTTCAAATCTCAGGTCATGTCTTTTTTCATTGGCACTGTATTTTAAACCCTTAGTGTTTTTTCCCTTTTTCCCTTTTTCCTTTTTCCTTTTTCCTTAATAGTGTAGTCCTTGATTTCATTACAAATGGTCAATCAGCCTCAGTTGACCATCTATCATGAATAAATTCATTTTACTTCAGTAATCATGCCCATGCCAGTTGTTGGTTCAAGCCTCAACATTTTTTTTTTTTTTTTGTTGATATGCTCTGCTAAATGATACGTAGAAAAATATTGTCATAATGGAATCAGAGATCCTGAAAAATGGTTTTCTGTATCAATCGTTTTACCCTAATCTTATATCCCCTTTATTCTGTTTTTAGCATAAAACAAATTTTCCTTGTCATACAAGAAATTATCTTAATATCTTATAGTATTTTCTGTTTTTAATTTTCCTTCTTTCAAGTCCGCAAATGCACTGCTTAAAGTTTAGTGAGTAGGCAAAACCCAAGACTTGAATGCTTTCATGGTTTTGTTAAATTTTTTTTTTTTTTGTGGTTTTAGTTATGGTTAATCTTGTTAATTGATTTCTTTAGTAATCATTGTCATGATTTAGTCTGTAAATACAAGTTGTATTTACTCCTGTTACCAAGTTCAATTAACACTTTAGTTAAGACTGCCACATTGAACTTGATAATCCAGCACTTCACCTTACCCAGGCGATGTGGGATTGTGCAACCTGTAATGGGCCCAACGTCCCTGTTGGCCACACTTCCAGCTGGGTTCCGGCTCTGATACCATTTGTAACAGTCCACTCCACCACATGATATGATATTGTCCATTTTGGACCCGAGCCCGCACGGTTTTGTTTTTGGGTTCTATCGCACTAGGCCTCATTCAATTTGGAGATAGTACTAGCACATATAAGCACATATCCTTCACCTTACCTAGACGATGAGGTTGGGCAACATGTATCTCGCCCAATGTCTCGCACCCACCGACATCACACTTGCCCACATAGGTTGTCACACACACACACACTCTCTCTCTCTCTCTCTCTCTCTCTCTCTCCCCCTCTCTTGTAAATATTGGGAAAGTTCTATAAAATAAAGGCACATTGCTTGGTGCACTGTTAATAGCTTAACTCCTAAGTATAGTAATGCGGCTTTTAGTTTAAGGCAATCTCTTTGTTCAATTAAAATGCTAAATGATAAGGTCTGCAATACTCTAACAATATAATTTGTGAGCCTATCAAAAGATTTGGAAAAGAAAAAATGTTCCCAGAGAAGTGTATGGGCATGCTGGAAAGTTTTATTTTGTCAGTCTATGAGCCTAAGCTTCCTTCTTTATTATTTGTGTATCACTTGAATGATGCTTTCATGGACGTAACCTGACATGAGTTTCACAAGTTTTCAGGTTTGAACGCCAAAGTATGCATGGCCATGGGCATAGTTCAGCTTCTTTTTTGGGCTGTTTGGGCTGGTGTTACTCGACATCCTTCGCGTTGGAAGTTGTGGGCGGCGGTGGTTGGAGGTGGTCTTACCATGCTCTTGGAAATGTATGACTTTCCACCCTATAGGGGATTTGTAGATGCTCATGCTCTTTTGCATTCCACCGCCATACCTCTCACCTTCCTTTGGTGGAGCTTCATCTGTGATGACGCTGAGTTCAGAACGTCAACCCTCATCAAGAAAGCTAAATAGCATATGCTGATCTTAAGCACACCCTAATTGGAGAGGGAATCAAGCTCACCTCACTCCTTTGTTAATCCATCAAAACACCTCTCTTTTTTTCCCGCGTGTTTGCATTTCTCTGAAATGTTTATGGAGGCGGGTTCCTTTGTTTCTATTTCAAATCAGGAAAATTGTTTCATTTTTATTTTTTCCCCAATATAATTGGTGGATAGAATTATGTGTTCGTGTTCTTTTTTATTTTGAGTGAATGTTGTTGATTTGATCTATAATCCGAGTCTTGCTTAGTTGAACTATGGGTTTGCTCTGTTTGAAATTTTTGCACAAACCAAACCACATACTGTAGTGAATAGTGTGTTGATTCTGCACAAGTGCGTGATGTATAATCTCAATTCATTTTCGCTGGGGAAGTGTTTTAAATCTTGTGAAGACTACTCTCAAAACAGTCAATTCATTTGACTACTGATGATTAGGGATATAAATCGCGACACCCTCGTCCCAATTGTGCACCATTGTAAGCTTTATATGCAAAGGCATTGGGTGTGTGAGTTGCTTCAACCATACAGGGTGAGAGTTGCTTCAACCATACAGGAAGGTGATTCGGAGCTGATAAACCCGCAGCGAAACCCGCCGGCGAATGTGAGCTACGATCACAATCTGGGAGTCCATTGTTGCCGGCATTATTAATATTACTCCCTTCTCTCTCTTTATGGCTATGATAGCATAGTTACTTTGGGCAGGTCATAACCTAATCAAGTAATAATTTCTATTTATGTTTGGATAAACAGGAGAGAGAATTAAATAAAAGATAGTCATTCTTCTTAGGATCAGGAGAGAAGAGAAAAAGAAGGAATTAGGACTTGAATGAAATAATAAATCTATATTATCAAAATACCATTATATTTTTTGTTCATATCTTCTCAATTTTAGAGAGATAACAAATGAGGGATAGGGAGGGATAGCTGTGCCTCTCTATCCTCTTTTTTTTCTCCATTTAAGTCACCCAAACAATATTTACAATTTTGACCATATTTACATAAGTTCCACAGGAGTCTCGACAGTTACCAAGGTTTTAACGTCAAATCATAGCTTCAAACTGGGGTGTTTCTCACACCCAAATGTTATATTTATACAACTTGGGGCCAAAGAATAAAATTCTTAAAAGACCAGTTTAATTTTTATACTGTACAATTTAATAGAAGGAAAGTACACTTATATTCTTCCAGCACACAATAAAACTCACTCAAAGTCCATTTCTATTTTTCTTTTTTCTCTCAAACCTTTTCAATTAAGAGTACTTTTTTAGAATATTCCTATGACCTCACCGTACTATAGTAAAAAAAATAAGCACGGACTATAACTTCTCTACTCACTACGGTGGACTACACTAAATATAAGTACATCATATCAAACTGAATAGCTCCATAAGGACACGTCTGCACCAACCTCCACGTCATCCTCATCCATCAAATTTCCTACACAGCCCGGTGGAGGTGGAGGTGGAGGTGGAGGTAGCATCAACCCTTCTGCCATATTTGCAAGCAATCCGGGCATACCGAAAACCGCCTCCTCATCCATAAAAAACACTTGTTCCGGCAATGACATTGTCTCTTCTGGCCTTGCTTTGCCGACGCAAACCCCGTCACACTCTGGTGGCCGGAAAGCTTCCGCCGCCTCCGCCGCCGCCTTCTGAATGTCCTTTGCATTGGTGGATGCCGGAACGGGCAGCCGCCACGCTGAGTCAGCAAAATTAAGACAAGCGGACCGGCCCTTCAGCGCCATTGCCGCCACGTCGTGGGCCCGCGCCGCCATCTCTGCTGTGGGGAACGTCCCCAGCCATATCCTCGACTTCTTGTTGGGCTCACGCACCTCGCAGACCCACTTACCGGAGTTCCTCTGCCGCACACCCCAGAACGTCGGGTGCCGAGTCTCCCGGAACTTCTTCCGCCCAGCGCGCTTCTTGGGATGACTCGACGCCAATGGAACCTCCTCGTCGGAAAAATTGGCACGGCTGTTGCTGCCACCGTCAGACACAGGCGATGATTCCGGCAAGTGGAGTGAATAGAAATCTGACCCACAAGGAAGTGGGTCGGAAATAGAGTAGTTTGAGAACATGTCCATAGATGATAACTGATAAGTAGAGTAGTAGCTAGTTTAAGAGTAAGAGAGTAGGTGTGTGTGAAAACTTGTTTGAATTACACATAGTGATAGTGTGTATAATATATAGTAGGAGTATATATAGTATTATGAAATGTGAGTTAACGATTTGACAAGGCATACACGGAATGGTGATAAGTAGCCAGCTGGGACGCCCACGGTTACTAGAAGTGGGGATTGATGAAATACCAGCTGTTGTGGCCCCCAAGTTTTGGGCTAATATTGGTTCAACACGTGTTCAACGAGATGACTTGGCAAGTGGATATTAAAAAAAATTAGTATGTTGACTGAGTATATGGATTTGTTTGTATTATTATATATGTATCCATCAATTAATTTTTTATTCATTGTACAAGTCGCAGCTGTCACAGTCAAAGTCACTGGATTTACTTTCCAGAATATACATTAAATTTCTTCTATTTCTGCTACTGTAGTACGAGCAGACAAATTCCTCGGCGATTATATCACTAAGCAAATACTTTTTAAATTTGCAACCAGACCCCCAAAATTTTGTAACTTTGTTTTTTATTCCATTTTATATATCACAGAAAGCTCATGGATACGGTTCAAACCGTGATTCAGTCCAAAATAAATCCAATTCGTTCAAATCATTTTAGTTTTGAAGAGATATGGGTATTGTTATAGTTTCATTATTTTTAAAATTGTTTGGCTTGATTATCGATTGCGAATAAAAATTCAATCCAATCTAATTCATGCGAATTATTTTAGTTTTGAAGAGATATGGGCTTTGATATATTTTCATTATTTTTGAAATTCTTCGTATTGATTTGATTTTTGATTGAGGACAAAAATCCAATCCAACCCAAATTGATTTGTTGTATTTATCGGTCTACATTGGGCTTTATGTGATTGAATTTCCAATGAGCAAGTTGTCATTTATTTTATTTTATTTTATTTTTGTTAAAAATTAACTTTTTTCCCCACATATCCATTTAATATTCTTTTTTTATTAATTTTTCTTATTCTTTTGACGATTATTTTCGTTATCAAGAGAAACCTAATCTATGTAACCAATCCGATCCAATCTAATTTTCGTGTGGTTCAGATTGGATTTGTGTTTGATTCTCACTTTGGTTCCATTTCATTCTTTTTTATAAAACTATTAGGATCAAATTGATTTTAATTTTATAAATAAATCCAAACAATCCAATCTAATCCAATTTGTGTGCAGCTTTAATTGAAAGTTCAATTAATCCAAGTAATAAGCCGATTGCCTAACACTAAAGAAATTTTATAAAAAATCCAAATGAAAGAGGCAAATGGCACCATCAGCCGATCGCCTAGCACTTAGAAAATGTTATCAGAAGTCTATGTGAAAGAGGCAAATAGTACCATTAACCAATCTCATAGCACTTGGGAAATTTTACAAAAATTCCAAATAAAAGAGGCAAGTGGCACCATTAGTCTATTGCCCAAAACTAAGGAAATTCTACATTGATTGTGTTGTTTGTTCAATTGAAGAAAGATCAAAACAAATCTGTTTCACTTGCAATTATACTAAAAATAAGTGTATAAGGATTTAGTTTGTTTAGATAAAATTATTATGGAATTTTCTTCTATGCATAAATTGAAAACAGTAAAAATTTAGAAGGTTCCTTTGCTCCTACCTCCATCGTTGTTACTTACACCACCGATTATTACCACAGTTCCACCAAATTCACCAATTAGCCATTACTTCACTGTCACCAACACCTTCAACCACTCACACAGTCCATTCACACGGTGCCACCAAAATCTGTCATCACTTATCAAAGGCTGTGTCTCAGAATAAAATATACAGAGATATTGAATTTTATTTGTATTAAAATGCATAATTTGATTTCTTGGTTTAGCGCTTAACACAAAAACACAATAAACATTTTAAAATATAAATGTGCTTGGTAACCGTTGAGTACCACTCAAAGCCAATAATTATGCGATTGGTTTCTATGTTGCCCTTCTCCTTTTTTATGGAATCATGTTGCATTTTTTTCCCTCGTTAGGTTGCCAATGGATTTTTGCTTTTAATTTACTCCAATGTCTCCAAAGTTTTCAGCTGACATTTAACAAAATAATATGAATACAAATAATTTTTATTTTTATTTTTATTTTTATTTTTATTTTTTTTTATCTCTCTCTCCCAAATAATATGAATACAAATAATATTTAACAAAATATAAATATAATATACAATTATGCACTATATCACTTTAAGTTTATAATCAATCTTTAATCCTTTTCACCTTGCTATGATATAACCTACCATAAATAAAAATGAAATGATTTATGCCGTGAATTCTAATATCATTTTCATAAGTCATTCAATCTATAATGTTTCATTTCATTTGATAGCCAATTTTACAACACAAATTTATATTTGTGCTTGATTTACATGAAAAGATTTTACATATAACCTCCGTTTGTTTTAAAGTAAAATATTTTTCAACAAAAAGATTTTCCTTTTTTAGGTAAAATATTTTTTATTTTTGCTTTTTCTGTGTTTAACAAAGGTGTAGGTCGAGATTGAAATCGAGTCCATCGGGTAGGACATATAAAATAACTTGTCGAAAATTAATGAGTAAGTTATTTTTTTTAAGTTTCAATATTTTTTTTCTCCGTAAATATTTTACAACAAACAGAGCCGTAATAGTTGGATGAAAACACGTTAAGTTTTGAACATCTCCTTGCAAACAAATGTGTCAATATATCAATTATAGATTAAGTAATTTCATTAAGGTTGTAAATTTTGCTTTCAATATATCAATTATAGATTAAGGAATTTCATTAAGGTTGTAAATTGTGCTTGACTAAATATAAAAAAATTTAATCCAACTACAACCCAACTTTTCATCTACCCAAACAACTGAACTTGAAGCAAACCAAAAGTGTTCAAATTTTAAATCAGGGCTTGAGTTAGAATAGTCAAGTAAAAATTAAAATGATAATGGATTCCATCGGTAATATATTATTCCTATAGTTAAATTCTTTCCTACGTACCATCTTTAATTTACAAATGTTATGTTTTGTTTTTTGAATTTTTATGATCAGTTTTGACATTAATATCCATTGTTAAATTGATATATTTCTTTTAGTAAAATTTATTATTTTATATATTCGTGTATATTATATACATGGTACCTTCCTTTAAAACAATATAATGTGCATAAGATATTAAAGGTAAAAAATGTAATAAAACATTTATATTTCAACTTATGCATTAATTTAACAAACAATCTTCCATTGTTTAAAATTAGACAGTATCAAACAAGTTATCAAATTAATACATTTAACAATTAAAATTTACTACTTAAAATTTTTAGTTTTATCAAATAATACTTAAATACTAAATACTGAAATTTTAAATGATTTTTGTTAATTGATTTTTTTTATTTTAAATAATTATAAAAATTCAACATTGATAAATGAAGTCATTAAAATTACTAAGTTATTTTCAATGATATTTATTTTTTCAAGTAATATTCAAATTACATAATTAAATGTGATTAATTGAATAAATAATTAATTTTTAAATAAAATTAAATGTCGAAGTGAACGTAAAAGAAAAACGAACGAGTCCACGATTTTGAGCAGAGGGGAAGAGAATGTAAAAATCGGCTACCAATTTAAAGCATTCCAGAATGTTCGTAGAAGCCGCGTTAGTGAGTCAAGTACAAGTGACGTGACCCCAACAAAACAAAACATCATTTTCTGATGCTGACATCACAATCATGAACCGGTGATCAGCACACGGGTTGACAGTTAATTAACTTCTAAGAACCGGTGGTTTTCCCGCGCAAACGCGTGGACCACGTGCTGAATTGAAACCTCTAGGTTGTTATGGCCCCCACTTCTGGCTTGTTATTTTCCCGAATTCCCACCAGTTGTTGTTGTTGTTGTTAGTTGCAAAAAGGAAGTTAGTGAGGAAAGTAGGCGTGTCCACATCATGACTGCTTCTTCTTCTTCTTCTTCTTCTTCTTCGTACGGACATATATGATCTCCAATTCCGTGTTTTTCTAGTTAATTTTCTTTCTCATTTTACTGCTGTCCAAACAGAAAATTGGTGGGTCGGGTTGGTTATAATGGTGGAGGTGACCACCTGATATGGTCCTCAGTCTTTTTATTACGGCTTGAAAAAATCAAAATAAAAAAATGGACCATGTTATGATCTATATTATTGGTCCCCCGTCTAGAAGTGAAGACTAGGGTTTGGACCAGTGAGTGAGGGGGACAAACGGGAAAATAATGGTTAGGCTTAGTCATGGATGTTGTCATGTTGATCAGTGACACAGAGCTTAAGGCTTTTGAGTGATTTGACAAAAGCTCAAATTATAATTTTAATTCTTGACGACCTTGAAATATACAGGTGATTTTGAAATCTTAGGTGGTCAGATTTATTGGTTTTTTTTTTTTTTTTTTTTTTTTTTTTTTGTCATGTCAATACTTACGACACCATACTACTATGATATATTTGAACTTATTATTTATGACTTATCATTTCAAATATTTGTTGAACTAATTTATTTATTAATAAAATTTTCAAAAGAAAAATGATAATGATCATGAATGATTTTAATGTGAGTTAGCAGCTAAGTGTAATTTAAAAATAAATTTTTAGAAGACAAAATAAGAAAAGAGAGAGAAACCAACCTTACAGCAAAGGAGAAGTTTGTGTGTGTGTGTGTCACGTGTATGTGTGAAGATCAGGACGTGTAAGTGTCGATTGACACTGTGAACCACACGCTATGGAGTAACGTAATGATTACTCAAAACTTCCAAGCATCAATTCATAGTTTTTTATTAGTGAGAACAGATGCTTTGTTGCAGAGAATGGAGATCTTTATGGGATTCATGTGCCTAGGAAAATTACATGGAGTAGGGCGTCCACTGTGAGGCTCAGTGGACGGGTGTAGGCCTGTGAGAGGTAAAGCTCTGAGGCAAGTTACCTGTTCACAATTTTTACATTGTTTGGGTGTGTTACACGTAGATTTAATACTCTTCTATAATAAAGCGTTTTAAATCTGTGATAATCGTCAACTCATCAGAATTCTGGAGTTAAATGAGTAACCTCCTGAAAAGTCTCTGGTTCAGACAATATTGTGAGGGTATTGTGAGGACAGTTACATCCAACCATGCACATTTAATGTTAATCTCTTAGGATGGAGCATATTAGAAAGGGCGCGTGCCTCCTTCCCTTGCTTCAACTTACTATATATAGGTATATATTTTTGCTATATACATATACTTATATGATTATTTTAAATAGTGCTCCCTTAAAATTTTTAAATTCCTCTAATTTCCTTTGAGAAAAAAAAAAAAAAAAAAAAGTTACATATATCCCCCTTCTTCAAGTACACCATATATTTTTCCTTTTCTATTTTTTTTTTTTTTTTTTTTGTATAATTATGTTTTGTTTCATTTTTTTCAATTAAATTATTATTAATCAATATTTTGATTCTTATATTTGTAAGTATATATTTTTTTCTTGTTTGCCTTTTGATTTTTTTTCAATAAATGTATTATGTCCCCTCTGAAATAAAATTCTCACTCCGCCCTTGGATAAGGCCTACAAGAGAGTTATAATGAACTTACGTAAGAAGAAATAAAAATATTGTTGTAGCATCGTTCATGATGCATATTTAAGAATTTATTTCATGGTGTGTATCGTTCCTTTTTGGGTTAAGTGCAAAAAAATCCCCTAATATATAGACTTTGTGCAAAATTAGTCCCTACTTTTTGAAAATGTGCATGTAAGTCCACAAAATTCAAAAAATGTGCCGAATTAGTCCATCTGACCACCTTTTTACAAAAAGTAAAACTGAAAACCCCATTTTACCCTTTTATTTCCCATTTTGCCCCTCATCCATTTGTGCATATAAGGGCCTCACCAATTGTGCATATAAGGACCCCCGCCCCTAAACCCAATTCATATCTCTCTCTCTCTCTCTTTCCATGTCTGCTTCAATTCTTTTTTTCCTCTATTAGTTTCTCCATATCTGCTTCAATTCTTTTTTTTCCTCTGTTAATTTTTTTATTTCTTCATTTCTTTCTTTATCCATAACTGCACACTATTTATATTATTAATTGTCTCAGAATTTTTTTTTCATTTACTCCAAAACATGCCATCATCTTCAAGCTCAAGAAGCCATTGTTACCCATATGGGAGGTCAGTGAAAGAATATTATTGTAAATCTGGAGTTAAAAGTCCTTTGAAGGTGCCATCTACCCAACGAAATCCTGGTAGAAGGTTTTACTGATCTTTCACCGACTTTATAACAACACAATCGATCTTTCACCGACTTTACAACTCTTGCAAGTTATCTTCAACCGATCAACAAACAAATACAAAGATTCAATCGATTTGGAGAACAAATACACATGAAAACGGGTTAGGGTTTCATAACACTAAGGAATTTAGAGTCGGCCTCTATTGTACACAATGCAGACTTAGGGCCAGTTTGGGAGGAAAGTAATGGAAGGAAAAGAAAAGAAAGGTAATGGAAGGAGATGGGATTTTGTGTTTGGGGTGAAATATGAGAAAGAAAAGAAAGGAAACAAAGAGGAACAAAGGGATTCAATAAAGGTTGCATATCAGTTTTTGTTATCCTCCCAAAATTGGGAGGAAACGAGGGAAACAGAAAGAAAGGGCAACATATTATACTAAAATTTTGTAACCACCAACATTGCCCAAATTGATTAGTTGATTTAGACCCAAAAAAAAAAAAAAAGGCGAATCCGAACTGGAACAGCGGCTAAAGCTTGCGAAGGGCGAAGGGCGAACCAAACTAGAACAACGAGCGATGGAAATTGAAAGATATGGGTTTTGATTTTTTGAACAATCTGAAATGATATGCCGATATGGGTTTTGAGCTTTTGATTCTTGCAAATAGATAGATAAACTAAAATATATAGGTTTTGAACTTCTGATTCTTGTAGTTTGCAGTTGTAGAGAGAGAAAGAGAGAGAGAGGGGACAAGTTTAGAGTTGAGAACGAGAATAGCAAGGAGGTGGAGGCTGAAACGTTTTGCCCTAAAACCCATCATCCATGGGCCTAATGATATATGGTGTGCATATATATATATATGAAAATTTTATTTATATTTTAAAATATGAAAGGACATGTTTAGTTTTAGATTTAATTATATTCAGGTTTAGGTTATCCCTATTTTATACAATTTGAGGTTAATTTTATCTTTCTGCCAAACAAACCCCATTTTATACAAATTTGAACAAAAGGGTCATTTTATATGACCTGTATTTATAATTATTAATTTATTCAATTGAAGTGAGGGTATTATCGTCATTTTACACCACCCAATGACCTGCTCGTACCAAATTGATAATATAGGGTTTTTTTTTTTTTTTTTTTTTTTTTTATCACACAAGGATTAATATGCACTATATTGACAGTAGAGGAGAGTTTTTTGCACTTAACCACTCTTTTTTTATAAAGTTCAAAGTTCAAGTAAATACATATCACCAACATATCCTGAATGTAGCTCCAACCATTCGAGAAGAGTGATCATAGCATCTATTATTATTATATAATCTATGAATCATCATGAGTTTCTCTCTCTCTGGTTTGGTCTTTTTTGGGTAATTCCAAAGATCAATTATGCCGAATGATTTCCTCATTGTACCAGAAATTGGAAAAGATATATATATATATACCTGGGACTTTTTATTCATTAAGATATGAGAAATTGTAGTTTTTAAGAAAGTGATCTAGAAAGCCTCTTTCTCCTTTTGGGAATAGTATTGTCTCTTTCTTTTCCAATTTCTGGTACAATGAGGAAATCATTCGGTATATATATATATATATATGTGTTGTCTCTCTATTTTGTCTTGTGCCACTTTCGGAAACAGTCGATTCCCAAATAAAATAACATCTCATTTTCACATGCAATCCGACAGAACTAAAGCCTCTTCTATAAATTTATGTACTTAAATTATGTGTATTTGACTTGGTTGTCAAGACACTCGATCACCTATTACCATTATGAGAAACTTTGTATATTCTAATGTAATGGACCATCTCTTTTCTTTTCTGTATTATAATACTCTTCAAAGATAATATAGTCTTCCTCTTATGGAATTAAAGCGGAATCATTAAAACATCAACCATTATTACCACCTCTTTCACTACAATTTTATACTACTATCTATCTATGTACTGCTAAGTTGACATAGCCTCAACGCAACGATTAATTTGTTCTAATGTGATTTGAAATTTATAAATTTAAAATCAGAATCCCAACGTTTTTAAACTTTAAAATAATGAGAGTCTTGTACATTGAGTTAACCATTTTATTCATATAGTGCTAAGTTATATCTCACGACCTTGATATTGTAAAATGATATTCATTCGCAAATTTACGATGTAGTTATAGGAAGATACTGTATATATTTATTAGAGTTTAAATAGAAGTGTGACATTATAAACTTGCAAAGGGACATTAACTAACTGAAGGAAGGAAAAGTATGATGTTTTATAGTTAAAACTTCTAGTATTAATTAGTATGAGTAAATTCTCTTTTCTCTTTCTCTTCTCAATTTTCAATAGTGTGATTTCTTTATGTTCATCTAGGAAAGAGCAATTGATGGAGTGGTCCCCAGCAGGCTTGATTCAAAACAGGAAAGAAGTAAAAGGAGGCCCACCAGTTCAATTGGTTGATTCTTATATATATATTCGGGTGAAAATGATGATCAAACATTCGATCTTCTTCCATTTTAGTAAAACTTTTAAAGATTTCACTTTATAATAAGGAATCTAATTTGGAACAATCCTACTTTCTAGACAATTTTCTATGTTAAAGCAGCCAAAAGGACCGCAAACATCTTTGAAGATTGATGGGCCACTGCAAGTTTGAAGGCAGACTTTCACTATTGCTATGTTTGGTTGTAGAATGTGGAGGGGATCTGTGCCTTGCTCCTGCAGCGTAGATTGTTAGTATAACACACAATATTGTAATGATGTAAACGTAAAAAAAAAAAATAATAAATAAATAAATAAAAAATTACTGTATAAGTGATTTAACATATATAGTTGTTGCATAAGTGATATGAGTAATTTCATAAGTAATGTAGTGGGAAAAAATAAACAAGTTATAAGATGATCAAATGTTCTTTGGTTCAATGGTATAATTTTTCCATCCTAAAAAAGAAAGAGAGAATTCAAGCCTGGACGTGAACAAAAAAAAAAAAAAAGTGTAGTTTAGCATTCGAAAAAAGAAAAAGAAAAGTGAGAAGTTGAAATTGATAAGTTTGATCAATCCTCCCTGTAAAATATTTCCATTTAGTTACTTTAGGTATTAAATGTCATCGATCACATGAGGTTTTAACCATTTGATTTGTGTGGATAGGTATTTTATTTTAGCACTCTTCTTGCTCCCACTTTGAAAGGTCTTAATCAAGTCCATGGCAGCACATTAAGTATGTTCAGTCAGATGATGTATATTGAACAACTGTCCAGTCTGTTCAAGATCATTAATTGAACCGGCATCTGCCAGTTTCAAGTTAATTAGTTTCTAAGTTAATGAGCTTCGATTAGTAATATTTGAGTTGGAGAGGTAAGTAAAATTCTTTAGTCGAAAATATTTGATTGGTCATAAGAGATAACAAAGTCGAGGATCTCACCTTATATTTGGCATTCATTGACAAATTAAGTAACCTTCTTTTTCACGATAGTGACATGGATTGATGAGGTTATGCAAATGCCATTTGTTCTAAATCAAACTCGGTCTCTGCGGACTAAACACATTAAACTTAATCAAATCAAAATACACAAAGGTTTAACTAAAAATTATGCATGTAGCAGTAGCTTCACAATCCAATATAGTGTTCACAATCTCAAAGCTTTCAAATGACTTGATAACTCACTAACTAGAATCCAATCAAAGCCAATCAGCTTCAAAATTCAAATACATACAGCGAAGCTGAAAAAAAATAATAATAAAAAAGAGTACAATCCAAATATGGTAAAATCTAGTGATGTTATCACACCAGTCTGCTTCTGTTATATATATATATATATATATATATATATCATTCTCTTCAAGGCATGGTTGAAGACTTACCCTTTTCAACCATAGCTCCAAAGACTTTCTCCATCTGAATTTTCCGGAGAGTCATCCGATGGTGTAGACTTCATCCTTGGCGGGCTCACCAGCATTCCTTCCGCCATGTCCACTAGCAAATTGGGCATATTGAAAAATGTTTCCTCATCGATAAATTCATTGCCGGCCTTACCAGTACTCGACGACATGTCCTCTTTTTCCGGAACAGGGGTCTCCGGCGGCTTCGGCTGCCTAGCTGCAGCGGCAGCAGCCGCCGCAGCACGAATATCGCTTGCTGACGAACACGCTGGGACGAGATAAGAAAGAGCGGAATCCGGGAAGTTGAGGGTAGCGTCGGGGCCTTTGAGTGCCAGCGCCGCCACATCATAAGCGGCAGCCGCCATTTCGGGTGTCGGGTACGTCCCCAGCCATATACGCGTAGTTTTACGCGGCTCCCGGATCTCCGACACCCATTTGCCGCTCCGGCTCCGGATTCCGTGATACTTCGGGTGTCTGCCGGACGAAGCGCCTCCTCCGGACGGCGAAGCAATGGTGGCTTTAGGGGGTTGAGGTGGTTTTGGTGATGGGTTTTGAGGACTGGGTGTTGTTTGGTCGTCTTGAATAATGACAGAAAGGGGTGAGTCAGATGGATTGGGAGGGCCTAAAACTAATGGGTGGTAGTTTGGTGGTTGGTCAGATTGGCGCACGTTAGCAGGAGGATTATTCATATTCCATGCACAAACACAAAGGGTTTTAGTTTGGGTGAAGCAATTTTTGTGTACTTTGTGGTGGCTTTTTAAGGGAAAACCAAACGAATGGCTAAAGCGTGGCCAAGTCGCGGACCCCTCCTTTTGTGGGCCATACTCTTGTCTAACCATTTTAAGTATGAATTGGTATTTGGTGGAAAGTCCTCTCAAACATTAGGCTACAGTGCGCACACGTATTAGGCGCAAGCTAGCAATTAGCTGTTTACTCCTTTTTGACAACTTTATTAAGTAGAAACTTTGGTTATCAACTTTTTATTTATTTATTTAGGTCAGATATTTTTTAAAGTATGGACCCCACGGTCCCTATACTCCGTACTTGTTTATTTGGCTGAGGAAGTGACACATGTCACACATATACCATGTGGGAAATTATTCAATGGGACTTATGTACCCACGATTTTAAAATTTGGTCATTGTTTTGATAATTACATTGAATAATAAACATCATTATGGTATTTGTCAATCCCTAACTTTCCGCATATGAAAAATTGTGACAAGTCATCATATAAGTTGACTCAATTTGTACTCAATCTTGCCCGATTGAACCCACCTAACACACTTACCAAATATTCGGTGGCTTGGTTAGGCTAAGCAATTTTTTTGAAGAAATATTGTCCTACATGTTTAATTCATCAAAGTATCATACAAAGTCCAAATAATTTCAAGCCAATTTGTCTCACCAAAACTAATAGAGCCAAAGATGCGTGACGGAGATGAACTTTAAGTTTACGTGGTGCCCTCTATTTGGATCCAAAAATGAAGAGTCGAATTTATATCAAAATGTATGGGTATCACTTGATGCTTTAAATTAGAACTTACGTAAGTCCCATCTGAAAGTATCATGAAATATCTTACTGAATGTTTTTGGTTTTTGTCCTGTCCTTCACTTTGAACCAAACATAACACAAAAAAATAAGGACAAATTACACTAACTTTTTTTTTAATTTTGTCAGTATAGAGACTTTTCATTTTATTTGTCCAATTACACAAATCTTTACTCTCAGAACTTTAGATTGGATGGTGTTAACTATTATATTATTGTGTAATTACATTTATGTTTTTATTATATATATTTTATTTTATTTCAAAATTTTAAAGACCAAAATACCCATCTATATTTATTATTATTTTTCAAGTCAGAAAAAAAAAATAAAAAATAGATTACTTTCTGTTCTTTTTATTTTCTAATCTGTCTCCTCTTTACGGCAACCATTTTTTTCGGTAGCTTCCATATTTGCTAACAACCAAGGGCGGAGGGAGGGGTGGGCGAAGGTGGGTTTCAGCCTTCAGCCCATCCCAAAAAATAAAAAATTTATTTTTACTATACTGCTTTCAGCCCAGTCCAAAAAAAAAAAAAATTAGCCCACTCAAAATTAGTCCAATCCTAAATTAGTCCACCCTAATTAGCAATCCTGGATCCGCCCTTGGTAACAACCATCACCTTGTTTGTGGATTCAAATGCATAAAGATCTTCTTCTCAAAATAGAATTAGTAAAGATAGCAAGTGAACTTATTGATAGTAAGAGGATAAGGTTTGGTCCATTTTACTTGTAAATTTAAGATCATCAAAGAAACTCCTCTAACAAGCTGTCTTTACAATATCCCATTATGTTCTGCTCTTCTAGAATCTACTGAAACCCTCCCCAAATTTCTTAGAATCACCTACAATTGTCGCAATAAAACAAAAAATTTGCACCTTTTTAACCACTAAATTCACCCCATCAATCCACATAAGAACAAGGCCACCAGGTTTACCAACTGGATCAACCCAAATCATATGATCAAAAACCACTTGTCTCGTTACTTTTTCCAAAACTTTTTTTTATTATTATTTCTCCCAAAAGGAATCTAAAGCATAATTTGTTGATAAATATGGATGTGCAATATGATTGATATGATTACAAAACCACCAAATCGCATGGGCTTCTCTTCAAGCTCTCTCTCAGTTGGGTCTCTTAATGAACAAGTGCTGTCCCTCTCTTATATATTTATATATATTTATGTGTGTGTGTATAGCTCTGTATTATAATTGTCCTTTTGAGTTTATAAGTCAATGATAGTATTATAAATTTACAGTGATTATTGAGGTTAAAAATGTCATTTTAGGTATTAATAGGGTAAAATTGCATTTGTACTGATTTTTTCTAACGGACATAAGCCTAAACCGTTAGTTGTTTAACAGCAGGGGAGGTCGGTGTTATCAATATATAAAATTCAAGGGAGGTCAGTGTTATTTGGCAAACAAGAAAGGAGGTTAGCGTATGATGACGAAACTTCAGAAGGTATCAGTATAATTATCCCCAAAAATAACGCATCAAAACTCTTATTTAAGTCTTAACTATATTTAATTTAAAATATTGTTATTTTATTTAATTTTTTTTAAAATATATATATTTATGATATGAAAAGTAAAAACAGTTGCATTTTCAAGTCCTTTGAAAAGAGATACCCCACAACGAACGTCTTAGTCCGGGGACACCTTCCGAGAAAAAAAGAAATTGGTTCGGGGCCAACACAGGCTTGGCCTTTTCATTTACACAGAGTCGTACATTTGATGGACCAACGTTGTCAATTTCACAACACAATCTCATGTGACCTGCACTATTAATTTTCCTGCGGAGGCCATGGGCCCCCATTACGAACCAATTGGGCCTGCTCTCTCTCTCTCTCTCTCTGTCACACACACTGTCACACACACAAACACAACTGCCACAGCTCAAAATTTTATTATCTGAATACGAACGAACACATGAAGATTTAGAGTTACGAAAAGGACCCAACACACAACAAGCCAGTCTCTCTCTCTCTCCATCAAAACCTTTTAACATTTTTTTTTTCATAATTGATACTCACACACACTTATTTTTTTTTAGATTTAAACTCCTGACCTCCTTTTGAGAAGTAAGAGGCTGATATTACTAAGCCACTGACCCGTTGATAAACCTTTTAACATTTATACTCACAATTGACACCAGAAACTCTAATTTTCAAGTATTTTCCATTTCAACCCCACCCCTCCAATTCTACTTGCAACCAGACCCTTTAACCACCATGGGTTTGCATCCACAATTGTTGAAACCCATCTGAAATTTGATTTCGGCTTTTAAGTGAGCAAAAAAAGCAGAGTGTTACATTTCTTCGTTTACTTTTCTGCCGTGTTTGAATTTGTAGCGCCCCCTTCCTAACATTTACTCAGACTACACTTTGTGGTGCTGCCTTACCAAGGGAGGACAATTAATTGTCTGTCTAAAGCAAATTGCACCACAGAAAATTTGAGATTGAAATGCATAAAGTCAAGAAAATTTCACACACATGGAAAGTTTTTAAAAATAACAAAGTAGGAAATCTATTTGGCTTATTTGTGCTCCTAGCCTTCTTTGGGTGCTCTGAAGGGTTCATAAAATCATTGACTACATCACTTTGTCTCTGGATTTTTATTTTTATTTTTTGAAAACTAAGGTGATTGTAAAAATATATGTACATAGTAGTAGTAATATTTACATTGGTTCTTGGAAATAGATAGTGGAGCAGCCCACTAAACTGTTTGCGAGTGGGACAGGCCCATTACAATATAACCAAATGGGGGGGGGGGGGAAGAAAAAAATCCAGAGTCATATATGGAATCCCCAATTCCACATACAACAAATCAGAGTGGCGCAGCGGAAGCGTGGTGGGCCCATAACCCACAGGTCCCAGGATCGAAACCTGGCTCTGATATAAAAGAGTAGCTTCCTCTGTTCGATTTTTTTTATTTATGGACAGAATTTTACAAAATTTAAAACAGGTTATATAATATTTATCTGTCTATTTATAATCACTCCACTATAATCATTATAAAATCTACTTTTATTTATTTATTGAATAAGTACATATAATTCATATATTATTTGTATTATTCAAACAACAAATCTAGAAAATATTTTGATCTAATTGATCCAGTAACGTCAAGATCATGTGACACATCTAAACAAGTACGTGGAAGAGTTTTGGGTTTTTCCATACACTCATTATGATGATCATTAAATAAATTTTACCCCATTAATCCACTAAACATCTCCATTTATTTGATCATCTAATTATTAATAATATATACTATTAAAAAAAAGGGTTCAAACCGATCAGCTCAATCCGGGATTGGCCTAGTGATAAAATTACTTGATTTTGGCGTCTTCCAAGCACCAGGTGTGGGGTTCGATTCTCATTAGAAACTTACGATTACTTGGCAATCCCACATTTCAAATCATATATAAGAGGGGCATTGACTACATGTTGTATTATATCATTAGCTATATCGTATTAAATTACATACCATTTGATATAGTCTAGTTTCCAAAACTCGTCTAGTAGCTAGAAAAGATAAAAGTGAAAGAAATACACATAACATTTATATTGTCCAACAATAGTGATATATACATAATATATATATATATATAATGGACCAAGATGGGGGGTTGAATTAGTCCTTAATAACTTTTCAAAAACACTTTGACACTTTTCTGAACCAATATGAACACCATAGCAAGTATGCAATGATTCTAACACTTGAAAACCTAATATGTCACAAGTGTTTGATGAAATTCAAAGACAGAAGACACTAGATTTTTACAAGGAAAATCCCCCTCAATAGGGATAAAAAACCTTGGTTTTTGGGTGCTCACCTAATGTAAATCCACTAATTATGTTGCTAGTTAATATACACTCAGCTGTCTCACACTCTGCACACACACCCTATCTCAACTTTGTGCACACAACACTCCCCTTGTCCTTAGCACCCCCGTTTAGACCAATACAACTCTCACAGCTCTTCAAATACATAATAAAAGATGGATGTACATCATACAATGGCTATTACACAAGATAAGAATCAAAATACAACTCAAAAGTACTTGAGTAATTCTACATAATATGTGGTCTGAGTATACAAAGTGAGATGGAGTTTCAATATAGACCCAAACTTGATTCCTAAAGCCTTATATCAACAATACACACTTGCTCAGATGATACACATGATGAGTGTAGCAAGATATAACAATTTCAATTCAAAAACAGGCTTGATTTCTGCAGAAAACCCTAATTGTCAAGGTTTAAAAGGCCAAATTCAGAAATGACCATTTCTCTGTTGAAAACTCACTTGCATTGCTTCAAATCAATAATATAAACTTGCTCAAATGATAATCATGATGGTCACAACAAGATATCAACATATAATACTCAAAACAAGAAGCAATGCACCAGAAAACATACAAATAATGAGGTTTGAGATATCAAATACTACTGCAGTGAATATATGAATATAAACTTGATTTATGCAGATGTAAAATGTCAAACCAAACTTGTCTGTCTTTTTTTCATTACATATTTTAACATGTGTTTCATGTCAATTGTTTAATGAAAGGAGGTTCGACACTTTAATGCATGTGTATAATGTTGTTATCAGATTGTCTGTATTTGTATCAACACCTTCATAAAAGTGTCCGTACTTCTTAACTATTGATCTTATTACATATTTAAAAAAATGTGTCAAATTTTATTATTATTATTTTTTTGTTTTTACACTTTCAGTCCAACAACAAAATGACTGCATTATTATTCTCTTAGTAATAATAAGTCATTTGAGGTATAGGTATCAACCTTTCTATTGCACAAATTTTTTTGTTATAAAGTTGATCATAACTTTAATTGAAATCCTAATACATATTTGAAAATCTGTGTCAAATTGTTTTTTTTATTTCTCTTTGCCCTTTTCTAGTCCAACAACAAGATGATTGCATTATTATTCCCTTACTTAAGACCTAAAATAACAATAATAATAATAATAATTCATTTGAGATACAAGTATCAACCTTTTTATTCTTTAAACCAAAAAAAAAAAAAAAATCCTTTTTATTCTATTAAAGTGTTTTTTTAAAATAAAAAAATAAAAAAAATTGGAGAATTGTTACCAGCTACCAGCTGATCAAAATGTTGCAAACACCTCAAAAAGATGATCACTAATAATCCATGACATACTTAATCCCCCAACATTGACATACTCAACCATCTTCAACAAAAACAAAAAGAAGGGCGTAAGAGAATTCAGGCTTAAAATATATTTTTTTTAAAAAGATTTTTTTTATTTTTACTTTTTTGATATTTAGCAAAGATCGGAAAATAACTTATCGATAAATTATTTTTGTTAAATTTTTATATATATATATTTTTCGTAAATATTTTACCACAATTAAAAATCAGAAAATACAAATATAAATATATACTACGTATATTTTAAAATATTTAATAAACGGAGCCTCAATAGAAAGTACAAAAATAACAAGAACGGGAAAAATAAATATATTTTTTTTAGGTAAAATATTTTTTTATTTTTACTTTTTGGATATTTATAAAAATCCAAAATTAACTTATCAATAAATTATTTTTGTTAAATTTTAATATATATTTTTTTCGTAAATATTTTACCACAATTAAACATCAGAAAATACAAAAAATATATATATTTTAAAATATTTAATAAATAGAGCCTTAGTAGAAAGTACAAAAATAACGAGAACGGGATCTTACACAAGTAAACAGTTAGACGTAAAAATAAATACTCTTGAGTATTCATAACCTTGCAAACAAAATTAAAGACAATGAACAAATCAACTTGAAACTGCGTCTGTTTTTCTGAAGGACAACACGGTATATATATGTATAAAGAACAAAACTTCTTGGTGTATATATATAAAGAACAAAACTTTTAATTAAAAATGTTTTTAATACATAATGAGAAGCCTTATTTTTATATTTAAAAAATGTATATAAATAATAAAAATATCTTACACTTTTATAAGAATTTCGCTGCAATATGTACAAGCAATAACTTACAAGCATCAAAGAATTAAAGGATTACTAAAGCTGCTCCAGCAGGAAGTTTTGTTTGAAAGTGCCTAGCACGCTTTCTCGCTGCTTTTTTTCTCAAGGTCTCCGTGAACTCCCATGGAGTTCCTATAAGAAGCGGACTGCGAGGATCAAAAGTAATCTTCTCGAGCATGACAGCACTTTTGATTACATATATTGCAAGCTCAAAATCATCTGCACGCCCAACCCACCCAATGAATTCCACCTCCTTAAGGTAATGATGGGGCCGAGATGTAACCTTTTCCAGGTTTCTCCTCTTAGAGGTGGAATCGCCCCAATGTAGCTGTAACAGAGAGGAATGAAGATGAAGTCATACCGTGCTTAATTTATACGTTTAAGTAGACCATTAGCACACAAAACCAACATACCAAGCATCAAATCATAACGCAGGACAAGTTAGAATCACGACATTACTAGACTCAATGGAATAGCCAAAACGAAACGTTCCACAGGCTCCAACGAGATTGAACATATTCTGTTGTACATATGACTTGACAATCAAATTTTTTTCTTTTCTGACATTAGTCACCCTGCTGCTTGTAGAATAAATAACTATTCCGCTTTATAACATAATAAGATTCAGTGGACATGCAATTTAAAAGACCTTTAACTGATCCATAAAAATATTCCTCTAAGCATTTAAGAAATAAAATCAAGAAAAGTTTAATTGCTTGGGAATAATCAGTAGTAATTTCGCCAAAGTGTCCGTAACTAATAACTAAAGATCCTCAAAAATAAATTAAACTTCTGCAGGGTACTCCTGGGAAGTAGAAGAAAGGGGATGATTCTTATTGTGTCTTTGGCTTGCATTATTCGACATTTTTCATCTTCCAATCACGGGGTCAAATTTCTGCCTGGCTTTTAATTTATTGAAGGATCTCTGTTCCTTCTCCCAACTGCAATCTCAATTTCTCATTTTTCATAATATTGATCTCTTACCAATAGAATTATAAGGACAAAAGAAAAAATACTATAGTTTCTTAGAAAACACCTTTCTAAGAGCTGATGAACTAATAGATTGGTGGGTTTATTCTCAGCATGTATGCTTGGAATAAGTCACACCCTAAAATCATAGTTGTTAAAGGCACGCCTAGGCCCCTCCCCAGGCTCGTCAAGGCTCAGCTAGAGCCTTGAGGATCAATCTACTACAGGTAAGGTCCTTTCAATCAAGCTCAAATAAAGCCCTCAGGCTCGCACTTTTTAGTAGCCTCCAAGGCTCGAAAAAGGTGGCCCTTGTATTTTTTAATCATTTATTCATATTATTTTCATTTTTTACTTGATGACTACTAAATTAAAAGGTTCTATACTATGAAGCACGGACACCGACACGGACACGGAACACAAGTACGATACGACACAGACACGGGGATACGTTAAATCTCAAAAAAATAGGACACAGACACGGCAGGAATACAGTAATAAAATAATAATATAATTTTATTATATATAAAAATTAGTTCATAATTCATATAATTTAAGCTCACTATATAGTCTTTTATTATTTTTATTTATTTATTTATTTATTTTTTTGAAATATAAGAATTTATAGTCTCAAATTTATTAAATTACAAACAAATAAAGATAATAACTTTATATCCAAATAGAACTAGTTAAACCTTCTGACCAAACAAGTGCTAAGGAAAAAGATGAGGTATATCTTCTCTCTCCTCCTCATCTACGTGTCTTATCTTTGTGGACCTTCTTATCATCTTATCTCTACTCTTCCTTTTCCCACACCAAATCAACAGAGCAAAGAACGAATCTCTACCCACTCTAGACAACACCGTCTTTGGAGGCAGAGAATAAGTTGCGAGGGAAGGACGGGGTGAAGAAGGAGAGGTGCGGTGACGGCGAATGAGTGGTGTGAGGTTACCCATTTCAGAGGAGGTTGATAAATCTTAAATTTTTATGGTGTCGTCGGCGCCACCGGATACAGCGACAGAGCCGGAGATGTTAACCGACTTATGGAGAAAAGGTGAGAAGGGAAGGAGAAGAGTAGTGGGATTGGGATTGTTTGAGTTACCGTGTCCTCCGGCGTATCGCTGTCGTGTCTCTCCGTGTCCATTATTTATTTATATATTAAAAAAACAGGACACAGTTTTTTAGGTGTCGGACACGTGTCCAAGCTCTAGACACGCGTGTCCGTGTCAGACACGTGTCCAACACCGGTACGCAAACCCTACATGCCATATCGGTGCTTCCCAGGTTCTATATCATATATTGTATTGTTTAACCTTATGAAATATTTGACAAAATTAAAAAATTTACGATTCACTATTTACATTAAGTGCAATTATTGTTTGACTATGAATATATATAACAATATATGTTTAAATATGCATTATCATATACACACGCCTTACTTTGATCAAGTTCACGCCTTATACTGCACCTTGCACTTAGGCTCCAGAAGGCCTTTGGTGCCTTAGTGCGCCTTGGGCTTAGGGTCCAGAAGGCCTTTGGCGCCTTGAGCCTTTAATAACTATGTCCTAAATCATGTCCTTTTAACAACGATGTCCTAAATCACGGATCTAAATGGATGTTTTTGCCTTTAAACCAACATAACACAAACACAAAATGATAAAGCAAAAATGGATTATAGCATTGGGCAATCACTAGACAATCTGATTAAAGTGACCATGTTTTAATTAAACTTATAATGAGAGCAAAGAATCCTCAATAGTAGCATGGTTGAAAGAGGAGGAAAGAAGAAGAAGAAGTTATGAAGAAAACACTGTGTTAGAGATGAATTCACACTGTTTTGAAGAGAACTAAGACTAAATCTAACCGAATTATGTTAGAGAATCCAAGAGGTCCTAGTGTCCTACACCAGCCAGGAGGAGTTCCTTGAGCAATTAATTAGGATCAATTGCAAAGGTAATTGAACAATCATGAGATTAAAGATCATGTAAAACTCTCGGGCAGTAAATATTAAATCAACTTGGGAACAACAGAATGTTATATATTCATTTACAAAATTCTTGAACAATCAGGAGAATAGGGCAAGCTAAACACTGTAAGAGCATTTTTCCTATTATTGGTAATAATATAATTTGTAATAGTCATAAAGAAGTAACTACTTGAGAAAATTGAAAGCTTTTAAGCGGAAGTCCAAATGAATCAAAGTTTCCAATTGAATATTCAACTTCAAAAGCAAAAAACCTGACATTTTAAAAATGTAGGAGGTAAAGTAAGACTTATTACCTGTAACACAAATTTACACAAGAAAGGACACGCCTCTATCAGGGGAGCAAAAACAACAAGACTTTCAAGATAATCTGGAGTAACTCTCAACTCCAGTTGCTTGAGCTTATTAAAGACAGGAAATTTAGGAAACCTAATACTGATCTGAATAAACCAAAGAAAAAGTAAATCAGCACGAATTGATAATTATGTTAAAAAATGAATAAAATATAAACTAAGGGGAGGAGGAGATAAAAATAATTGGTTAAACTAACTAACCTCATAGAAGGTCGCGTGCAACGTAAGGCTCTCTAGTTGAGAAAGATAGTTTGAAATTTCAAAAAAGTTATAAATTAGATAATCACAATACTCACCCCCAATACACAGTTCAACAGGCTCCTTGACGTTCTTAAATGGCTGGCTTATTTTTGGTCCAAAGTACTCAAATGACACTAGATTCATAGCAGAAATCTCAATACTTTCCACATCGAAACAGTAAATTATCCCCAAGCGCTTCAATTTGAGTGCTAGGTCAGGAACTTTCAGATTTACAAGACTATTAGATCCGCTCACAGACAATTGTTCCAAAAATGGACAGTTAGTTAAGAAGTACTCAAGAACTTGCCCAGTTACATTAACGTTTGTCAGCAGGAGATTGGTGAGGGAGTTGCAGCTGGTAAACCCAAGGGACAATGAATGCACACTGATTCCCGAACATGGTGACAAGTCTAACTCAAGCCTTTTAACCCTCTTTTCTATAGCAAAATTAACCCAATTGTCAATGTCAAATTTACAACTTTCATCATCAAGATCAAATAGAACTCTGAATTCATCTAAACTGGTACCATTGTACGATTTCAAGACTTGATTAACCCAATTCAAATACAAACGCCTTTCTACTTCAAGTTCCTTTTCACCTAGTTCAAGTGCATTTATTATATGTGAGGCATCAAAGTTTAAACCTTCAATGTAAGTCCACATATACCTCCATCTCTTGGATAGCAGACTAGTTCTTCCAGCTTCTTTCATCGTCAATTGTGACAAGATAGAAACAAGAATATCATCAGGAAGTCCACTAATGTGATCCTCCAAATTCAACCCTCTTTTATCGACCTTCTCACTATTGCAATTAAAGGGGAAAAAAAAAAAAATTTAGGAACTGTGATAACAGAAACACCAACAGTAGTGCTGAATTTTTGTAACTAAATTTCTTCATTCAAAAATAAAACAAATATAAACATACAAATCCATACATAAGTTAAAAAGACGGTGTAAATTTTTACCTTGCGTTTTCAGCATAAATTGAGGGTCTCGTGCTTTTCTCCATGGAATTTGAACTCACAGTTTTCAGCATAATTTAACACATAAATTTGCAGATCCAAGAGAGAGAGAAAGAGAGAGACTTTACCTATAAAACAAACGAGCAGATTCATAGTCCGAGTTGGATTAGGGCTTGTCTTTCGTGTCTTCCTAGGTTTAGGATTTTATTATTATTATTACTCCGTATTTGGTAAGTGATTTTTTCTTTTCTTTTTTAATTCGCTTTTGGTAGGTAGGTTTAAAAACTTTTTAAACAAGAATCTGACCATTTTGGGACACCGGCCCTGGAGGCCCACTATGTTGACAAATGTCTAAGCCTGCTTCAACCCATTATTTCACCTGGTATTCAATTTATCCAACTCAAGGCCCAGTTGGCTGGTCGGCCAAGCCCACTAAAATCCTTTTACGAGGAATACATTATTTCGCCTCTCTTCAGTTGGACATATTTTATGCTTTCAAAATTATGAACCGGGCTGATAAAAAATAAAAAAAAATATAAATTACGAACCAGCAACCAAGCGCCTTTGGTCTAATTGTATAATGTTACAAGTTTGTTCACGTCGAATTCGAATAAGAAATGTTATAAATATGTATAAGTTAGATGTTAGCCCTACTTAATAAATTAAGTTTTTTGATTGGATCTGACCTTATAGTTAGTATTAGATTCAGATTCAGTTCTTAATTTGGTGTTACTTCAAGCGCTCGATCCGAAAAAATCCTGATTGTCACCTTACATGTCATATCAAACGTTAGGTCCAAAATGATTAGAAAAATTTAGGGTTAACTTTAGTTACACCCCCTGAAGTATGTCCAAACTTCAAGGAGACCTCTCCACATTTACAAAAATTCAGTCAGACCCACTGTCAGACATTGTCGACCAATAAATGAATGAAATGACTAAATTATCCTTTTGTCGTTTTCTTATATATACTTGACCTAACAGTCAATCTCTTGAACCAAACATGTTTTATAATAGCTTTATCTCTTGAACCAAACAATCAATCTCCCTCATCCCTCATATCTCAGTAGCAAAGTTAGGGTTACAAAAAACTAGGTTTGCATGGCTGGCCGGAAAACCCAGGGATTGTGATATTGAGATAGTTTATCCCTTTGCCACAGGGATATATGCTTAACCATTCAAGAGACGGGCTTGTGATATTGAGATAGTTTATCCCTTTAACCTTTTGCAGGTTTAACTTTTTTATTGCGGAGAAGAGAGATGAAACCCAATCCTCAGATAAGTTGAGAGGATCAAGTCTTGCGTCTTTTTGTCCAAATCCTGGAGCGAACTGAAGCTGTTGCCGGTACCGGAGGATAGTTCGAGAATTGTGTCATAAAGTCTCAATTTAATCGGTCTTACGATGGTGGATAGTGGTAGAGGAAAGCATCCTGCTTCTTCAGACCATCCAGTTGACATTGACATTCCAAATGATAGATTGAGCTCTTCCGCCTTACAAATCACTGTAGTATTGTGAATCCATTCGCATACACGATCAATATCATCGTCGTTAAGGGAAGATTTCATCTTCAAAACAACACATCGCAGTTTTGCCCCATTACCTAGGGTGAGAAACTGGTCTGTCCAGTCACCTATTTTTTCTATAGTGTATAATTCAAAATCAAGAAACAAATCTGGGATAGATAGACATTGTTGTTTCAATCTGCTGCTGCCGCCACTTTACCGCTGTCATCCATTGTGCTCGTTGGGCAGTAGCCCGTCATTTCAGTGACTTGGTCGTCAACCTCTTCACCGGTTCCAGCTCACCGCCGCTCCTCACCGACCTCATCACCGCCGCAATCGCAACATCCTCACAGTTCCTCACCAATTTATTCAATCCATGTCACCCATTTATTGGATTAGAAAATTTATTAGTCAAAATCCAAATATTAACAAGTCTACAGTCTACTCCAAATCTCCAATTGAAGCACCTATGAGTCAAAAAAAGCAAGAAGAACATACCATAGCAAGACGACCGAAGATGATCTCCTGACTCTTCTTGGAGCTCTCTATGTACTCTGACAGGAACGCAAAGAACAGCGACGACGACACCCATCACCGCCCTCATCATCAACACCATCACCACCCTCATCATCAACACCATCACCACCCTCATCATCAACACCATCACCACCGTCCCTCCACGGCTTCATCATCACCCCCACCTGATCAGAACTGTACGATCTGAGCGTGCATAGACGAGGCTGTAACACGATTTTCACCTTATCTGTCCCCGTCGATGACGTCGACGACACATCGGAGGTCCTCACCCTCTGAACTGGAACAAGAACCGCTGGTTTTTGAGACGCGAGCTCGCAGAAAACCGGTCGAGCCACCTTAGCCATTGGAGAGAATCTTAGACCAAGAAAATGGCTTTGCAGAGAGACAAAGTTTAGAGGGAGAAATGGGTTTGCAGAGAGAAAGAGAGAGAGTGTTTTGAGGGGAGCGTTTGGTTAGATGGATAGTATATAGCCAAACATAACTGTTGAGGGCAATTTGGGTATTAAAATTTATTTTTTTATTGATGTAGGCAAAAAGTGTCTCTGACCAGTTTTGACAGTTGATCGAAGGGAAAGACTGATGCGTGTAAGAAAAAATAAGGAGTCTGACTGAATTTTTGTAAACGTGAGGAGGTCTCTTTTAAGTTTGGACATACCTCAGAGGGTGTAACTGAAGTTAACCCATAAGAAAAAATTAATTTTAATAACGTAGAGTCTTAATATGAACTTGTTGACGTTTTTATTTTTATTTTTTTGGACTTCATCATGTTATAACATTGAGTCTCATAATCAAGTGAGATAAATTCTAGCTCACCTTTCTCTTTTAAAACCCAAATTTTCAATTAATGGATCAAGTAAGTCTTACATACACACACACACTCAATCACCCCTAAAGCTCTTTAAAACCACCAATATTTCTTTACCGGTCGTTTTCTGTCTACGGCGAGATGGTAATTTTTCTGAGTTCATTGTTATGATTCAATATAAGAAATGAGGCAGTCACGGGTCGAATCGAATCGGATTAGGCATCAATCCTAATTCGATTCGCTCGCAATGGATTAGGAGGTTTTGAATCCGCCACCAATCCGTTAGCCAACGGATCGGATCGGATCGGATCCATGAAATAACAGATCGGATCGAATCCAATCCGCGGACTGAATTTATTCAAAATAGTCTATTTGCACCAATTTCATATCCATTTACAAAGCAGTATAAGTGTATAACAGAACATATATAAAACCAATTTAAATGCATAATAGGTGAGGCAGCCGTTTTTCTTTCTGCTCTTTTTTAATTCTTTGAGTTCTTTCATCTTTGGTTAGGTTTAGGTTTTGATTAAATGAAAAGTCAGTGGTCCACTACTATTGATTGAATAATGAATATTATAAAACTAATTGTATAATACTTAGCAAAAAAAGTAAACAGAAAAAGTACGGTATGTTAGGAGTTCATATATATATATATATATATATATATATAAAATATTAATATTATAGTAATATCTTTACTTTTTCGTAACTAATCAACCTTAACTACTCAACTCATCTTTCTATTTTTAAATTCGGGCTTGCAACTTAGACTTAGATTCCGGGTAAAAATTTTAAGTTAATTCGGGTTACTCATGTGGCTAATCTTTACACCGAAAATTTAATATGATCTTGAATTAGTTTTAGATTAAATTAATCTTAAACAAGAAAAAGTTTAAAGACTTTTTGTAGATTTTAAATAAATTACAAACAAATTTTTAAAAAATTAATTCTCCCAAATGTTAACATACAATAAGTTAAGATTTAACAAAAGAAGTTGAAAAGAAAAAAAGTAATCATAATTTAAATATTATATGTAATGTATTTAAAAGTAAAAATATATATGAAAATAATATTAGAATTCGGCTTAGGGTTGACTCGGGTTCCTAGCACTTCAACCCAAGCCCAACCATAATTAAATTCAAGTTGAGATTTTTCAACCCAAACCCAACCTTAATTGTAAAAATGATTGTTCAAGCCTGTAAAAAATCGGGATGGGCTTGGGTTGAGTTTGGATAACTTAACTCAAGTTGCACCCCTACCAATCCGTGATCCGATTCGTGAACTACGGATTCAATTTTTTTGAATCCGCCACTTATCCGTGGGTCTGGCAATCCGATCCGTACGAATGAGATCAAATTTACAGATTCGCGAATTTTTTACCCACCCCTAGAAATGATACATTCAGAAGAAGAGTATCACACAATCACAGGGGCCAAATGCTCAACATCACCATATTTGACTACAAGAGCCTTCTTGCTCAGCAAGTGAACCACCACATTTCCTAAGCGAGGAACCCACACCAAGGAAGATCTCAAACTCTCGAGAAACATCATCAAGAACGATCAAAAGAGCTTCGTCATCGGCTGCAATTGTATATCGGATTGGCAATCCCCTCAATGACCACATTATGGTATCCCACCTTTTTAAAATTTGGAGGATTTTCTAAGCACTATGCCTTCAGCCAAAGATCGACCGCTAACATTATTGAAGAAAACTGAAGCTATCTTAACCGGATGTCCCAAGTGGTTTCGTAAATCATTCCCTTCTTGAAAGAGTGGAAAGACGCATCGAAATTAAGCTTGTAGAAACCCACTGTAAGGGGAGTCCAAACCACAGATGGAGAAGGATGCATGGGCAAGGGAACAACAAATAAACAATTATGGCGAGAAACCTCAAAAACTCATTGAAATCCCGAAGAGCCTTTTGGGCCACTTCAAATGATTCCATCTACGTTGGTTGAAAACAAGGCCATTTTTGCATTTCCAAATTGACCAACAAATGAAAGCAGCTAAACCGATACATTCTGTCGAGGACTGAGTTTCCAACCCATACAAGCAAACAGGCACAAACAGAAGAGGTGTTCCAATGTTTCATCTGAATTTTCTCAAAACAAACAGTAGGGAACATCAGAAAAGTTTGCATTACACCGCTTAGAAGTAACCGACTGATGTGAAGAATCCGGCAACCAGTTATCCTTCCAGCAGTAGATCGACGAGCCATGAGTTCCATAAGTGAGAGAATTGAAGGAGTAAGCAAGCCAGAAGAAAAGTTTGCATTACACCGTAAACGATTAGCCATCACCTACGCCATTTCATGCCCTTTCAGATGACTTCCTTTGCAGAAAAGATACTCTTCCACACATTCAAGAGGCACTTGATTTATATGGAGAATCAACAAAGTTACAGTTTTTAAAAGTACTTCATTTTGAAAGATTTATACAACAAAGATTCGTCACCCACCTCCATTCTCTATGCCATTTTAGCCAAATGGGCAGCTTCAACATTTTTAAAGCCAATACTCCCATCCTTATTAGAATTGCAAAGCTTATCCCAACTGATCCCTTTGATTTTGTTAGATTTTTCCTCCTGCTCCACCAGAAGTTGATAAATTTACTCATTAGGATCTTGCAGTTGTGTTTTGGGAGCTTGAAACATTGCATTTAAGCCTAGTTATATATACATTAAAATATATATATTCTCATTGCATATGCTTATATCTTGTATATCAACAAATCTAATCAACATTTTAACTAAAAACAAATATAATTAACACAACCAAAACATGTTTTTCAAAACAAATGAACATAGATGACCAAAAACAAACTATTATAATGTTTACGTCTCTACATAATAGTAAAAGTATTATGAGGTACATTATAGTTCAATGAGGAAAGAAAGATACTACAAAAAAAAAAAGAGTGTACTTATTTTTTCATTAAACACCACATTTTCCATTTTGCAAAATTTCTTCCCAGTGGAACTAGT